CCGATCTAAAAACTGCCTTTTAAATGTACTAAGTCATGGCAGATAATGGGTCACTCTTAGCTTTGATCACACTCTTGTGAGAGAAAGGAGCTATACTGTACCAGGTGCAATTATCATAAAAGACTTTTAAAATGAACGACGGGGATCTTACAGCCACCTGTTTTACAGGCTTTCAGATTTTTCTGTGAGTCAAATGAAAGCGCAGTTTATAGCGCCAATTTTCCCTCCCAAAAAAACTCTTTCATCAGATGTGAGATTGATTGAAGTTTTGTAGACTCTAAAAAATGTTTCATCTGTATAACATCATCCATATAATGTATACTTAATTTCTGTTTACCAAAACTTCAGAAAGATTTTGAATGTGAATTCAAAGCGGTTGAAAAGTGCAATGAAGTTATCATTGCAAGTTGTACCTGTGGCACCACTTTAATTTGACTAAAAACTTCAATGCAGTTAAACTTTACATTTTAGTGGGTTCTATTTTTTTTTATTTAGTTTTCTTTTTGTGTGTTCATCCTTTGGTTTCTTTAATGGTTATGGTGTTTTTTTTTTGTTTTTGTTTTTTTTTGCTTTTTATTATTTTGCACGTTCCAGAATCTGTTTTCACGGATTAGATAAGATACAACTTTGACAAATATGCAATATTAGCTATATTTGAAATGTAATTTTTTCTTGCTTATACAGTATGAATGTACTGCAATATGACTATTTAAATGTGTACTGTTTGCTACCTATCTACATTAAAAAATAGTTTGTTATTGTTTATATTATAAATCACATTGGAAATGGAAGTTCAGGTAAGGGAAGATTGCGTTGGAAACCGTATCCCATGCAAATACAGTAATAAAATAAACTGTGCTCAGTATACTTATTGCATACTGCAAAAACATTATAAGTGGTATTAGTTTTATGTTAGCTTTAAATCCGTGTTAAATAATATGTAATGTTTATTCTTTCTGCTCAGAGCTGAACATTATCATAATTAGCATGAACATATTCATAGTTTTTAGAGCACTGTGATCCTTTGCAACCTTGTAATATTCACAATTGGTAGAACAATTTAGTCTTAATTTAGAAATATTGGCTCACTGTGGGGAATTTAATGTGGAGAGTATCAATTCTTTGATGGTTTCTAGTGTTCATAATGTGTTTTTTCAGTTTTGGTTAAATCCACTGAAGTTGATTAAAAAGGGATAGTGGCAGAATGAAATATGTTACTTTGCACAGTAAAAAGTTAAAATATTCTATAATTATTATGAATAACTGTCATAAAAGTTTATTTTCCATGTGAGACTTAATTCATATTCCCTGTTTTTCCAGTTTATTCAAATTGTACTCATTATTTTTATTCAGAATTCAAATTTTCCATTCTTATTGACTTATGTTCTCATACAGCTGCTTACTTCACAATACAGTGCTGAATATTAATAATGTTGTGTTGCCCACTTTTTACTTATAATGACATGATAACAAAAGTTCTGTGATGTTCATTCTCATTAGGTTTCACTGTAGCATAAGGCTACATTTTCTTGTACCCAGGATGAAATAATCCTGTTTTAAATATATATTTAATTGTTTACTAACCCCCATAATGAAATAAAACCTTCGATATCTATGCAAATTTTGGTTCCAGATAACATCCACACAAGTGTCGACTTTATACTATTCAAGTTGAGCAAAGCTACTGTACGATGGCACTATGTTTAACTGCCTACATTTCCCTCCTACAGATATTAGTTTTGGGAGATATTCTGGGAAATCCTTTTTGGAGTTTGAAGGCATTGAAGTCGATGGTGTGTTCAGTGTCACGGTGAGATTCCAGACTGAATCCATGTACGGAACCCTGCTGTATTCGGCCAGTGCCAAAAAAGGCATCTTCTTCATAAAACTCTACATTTCCAGTGGAACGCTTTGGGTAATACTGCAAATGCATATACAAAAGTGTTTTTTGTTTGTTTGTTTTTCAAAGCTGTCTCATTACTTTCACAAATCAAAGAATATGCATGAGAAATAATTAGATGGAAAATACTGATACATGTTTTTCCCACACACTCCAGTATGACTTTTTGTGCAACCAAAAGGAGGGAGTTCAGCGGATCAATATTTTTGAAAAGCTTCCAAGATACACCAGCTGCACAAATCAGTCATTACTTTTGTGCCAACTAGCAAAAGACTTGGTGTGAAAGCGAGTTGTCAAAACAAGACCGAGTGGGGGGAAAAACAGGACTGAGAGACCATCTCTTAAAAGGGGTGGTATTATTCAAATCAGAATTTCCTTGATCTTTTGAAATAGATTTTGTTGTACTATGAAAACATACAGGTGAGAATTCACTAAACGGTTGTGTCACTTTTTTGTGCTGAATTTCAGGTCAACAACCTGTGTCTTATTCACTAACCAGGCACAATGTGCACTGCCATACGTGCTGTTAGTATTTAAAGGAATATACCTGCTTTAAAACAAATTAAGCTTAATAGATAATTGTTGGTTGATAAAAGTTGATAACCACAAAATTATTTGCAACTTATTTGTCTTTTTCTTTAAAACTAAAATAAAACAAACATTTCAGTTAAAAAAAAGTATTATTATTATTATTATTATTGTTGTTGTTGTTGTTCTCGTCATTTATTTGGACGTTTTATGGTTTTAGGCATTGCAAAGTTGGTTATAACTTTGCACAGAATAGGCTAAAAAGTGATTTTCCCTCCACTAAATTCATGTTAACACGCATATTAAATAAAACAAACATTTCAGTTAAAAAAAGTATTATTATTATTATTATTGTTGTTGTTGTTGTTGTTGTTGTTCTCGTCATTTATTTGGACGTTTTATGGTTTTAGGCATTGCAAAGTTGGTTATAACTTTGCACAGAATAGGCTAAAAAGTGATTTTCCCTCCACTAAATTCATGTTAACACGCATATTAATAACAGTAATAATGTTTACAGTTTTTTATAGAATAGGAGTGACAAATCGAAATTGTTGGCTGTTGTTTTGAATGTGATGAAGTTGAGTAGATAATTATATTCTACATATCAGGAAATAAATAGGATTAATTAGTTTTTTTTACAAAACTTGTTGCACTAATTAGATTTTTCTGTTGTGTGAATTTCTTTGAATTGTGTAATTCAGTGTTTCCTCTCTCTGTCATTCCAATTCATATTCTAAATAAACATCCTGTGGGTCGTGGCCAATTCGATTCAAATTCAAGCTCATGAACTGCAAAAAATTCTGAATTGTGCCCAACTGCGGCATATCATATTCTTAAAGGCACAGGAGCACAAAAAAGCAGCCTGTTTAATTCTGAGGTTCACAGAGAGGGTGGAAAATGGTTATGTAGAATTCAGTAACACCAGTTTTGGTGCACAAAATGATATAAGTGGACCACAGGGAAAAAATACAAATGATTTTTTTTTTTAAAGGTACTGTACAATGTAACCCCTTTAAGTTTCACTGCCTTATTCATGTCTCACATGACCGAGTGAAACCGTGGAACAGTTTAAAGGACCGTGCTGTGCTTTATTGTTGCCTTTAAAGCATTTTTAAGTAAAAGGAGCATTCTCTGTGTGTCCTGCTGGGAACTGTTTGCTCAGAGACTCAATGGGACCAGTGGCACTCTGGCGAGATGCCAGGCTGAACAGTCTCTCCGGCTGCTCCAGAGGGAGGACGTCCAGGGCCTGGTGGTCTTTCCTCCTGAGGTGCGGAGCAAAGCAAGAGAAAAACTCCACAGCCTGCGAATTACAGGCTTAACAAATCAGTCAAGATTGGCTTCTCTGAACCTCAGAAGAGGGGAAGACGGATATCAAGGCTGGGGGGATACTGTCATTATGAGCTGAGCATCTGTAGGCCAATCCTCCAGCTGCACATAGTTATCCCAGAATCCACACTGAGGTAATTATCTTTCCTCCCCTGTTGTTTGGAAGGGCAGAATAAGCTTTGGAAATCTCCCAAGGCTTGGGTACATCTCCGGAACAGTCTGTCCGAGACACATAAGATGTCTTTAAAAGGAAGAGGGGAAATAACTAGCCGCAGGTGAAAGACGCCCTTGAGCATAGCAAATCATTTGTTTTGTTTAGTGGGGTTTTTTTCTGTCATGATTTACGGTGTCACAACAGTAGCCATTTTAATTAGCTTTTAACTGGCAATAAAACAGTTTACAGTTGTTTTTAAGCTGTATCCGATGAGTTATGTTATGATATTCTGATATTTAAAACAAGATTAAACCATTTGTACAAATGGCATGGCCTTAAATCACACTGAGACTGTTCTAGTCGGAAGCCACAATATTTTAAATGCTGTACTGCCAAATGAATTCACTGTGGACCCTTTTTATTTCTCAATGCCTTCCTGTATCTCACGTATCCATGGAAACAACACAGTCATTAGGAGTCATTCAGCATAACCTGTTTTCAGTCTGAATATTAAAAATGCTGAAAATAATAACAGATAAAGCAGGCATTAGCAGTGCTTAGCTTTTAAAGTAATTGTGTTCTCCTTTAGGCGTAGCAAATGTGTCTTATTAACAAACTCAATTGCCTTAAAAGACGTCTGTGGTATTAATACTAAAGATCATTAATTGAGTGCATTTTTCAGCCATTAGGTGAAGAGATACACAGGAAACGGGGAGCTGAAATGTTGATTTATAACAAGACAGAGAACATTTGTCCACATGCATATCACACTGTTTGTTATTTTGTTTTTGTTTTCCACAGACAATATCTTTCTCCGTGTGCAGCCGAAGTCACTATTACAGGCTTTGGGACTGTCAGAAGTATTCCGAGCAATTACACATCAGCCGTGAGTTTACAGAGAACTGACCGTCTCTTCATAGGAGGACTTCCTCTTCGGTTTCCACCTTATAAAGTAAGAGTTAATTATGTGTGAGGTTATTTTTAATGGGTCACGTCCTGAGTAAAAGGTCAGGACTCAGGATAAAAGGTTTACATATGAAAACTACCATTCAGAAGTTTGGGGTCAGTAAGTTTTCACAATAGTACAGTTATTTACAGTATTTTTTTTTTTAATAAATGCCACTTTGATGAGCATATGAGACTTCAAAAATGTTAAGAATTTGACCCCAATCTTTTGAACAGTAGTGTGTGACACAATAAAAGAACTTTTGGGATTGATTTTTTTTTATGTTTTTGAAAAAAATGTTTTGCTCAGAAAAAAAGTTGTTTATAAGTTAAAGTGTTCATGCTGCCTTAAAATTTAACGTGAAATCAACTTGAAATGTAAAGTTGTCTTAATTGGCATCTTGGATATTTGAATTATCTCTAGTTCAGTCCGAATAAGTTATTATAATGCTAAATTTTATGTTATCATCAGGTCAACTGGGAATTCTGATTATAATGTGGAAACAAGGAAAGATTGACGGTTTGCCTTTGTCATGTTACACAATGACCTGACCACTTACCGCAGAGACACCTTCAACTTAAATTGGATTAAAATGGACATGAATTTTCCAGTAATTTTCAGGTTACTAAAAACTGGTTCAGAGGGCTTCAAAGAACTGTCAAGGTCTACATATTGACAGTGATAAAGCTCTGAGAAACTAGCAGGCACACTTTCCATTTTCCTTCAGGCGGCTAGAAGCAGGTCACGGGCACTTGAGATACTGTTAGGAGAAGAAAAAGGAGAGGTTGAGATTGTATTCGTCTAGACAACAAAGATTGAATCCACATGCTTTTTTCTCTTTTCGCAGAACTGCTAATGAAATAGAAGTATGTATATATATATATATATATATATATATATATTTGTCATCAATGCAGTTTCTCCTACTGGTATTGTATGAGCCAATTCTGTCTTATGTGAAGAATCTTGATTGCCATTAAAAACATTCAGTAGCATTTGTTGCATTTATAAATGTATGTTTATGAAGGCAAAAGTCTCATTGTATTAATACATATGCATGTTCCTTTATGTGTATACATTTTAAATGAATAGTTATTTCAATATTTACTCACTCATGTCATTCCAGACTTGTATGCAATTAAATGTTTTATGTAACACAAAAGGTGACATTTTTGAAGAGTTAGTATGCAGCTCTTGCCATACAACAACAGCTTATAATAACCAAGGCCTGCTCAAAAGCAAAAGTGAAAACTGAATCTGTGAATAACTAAAATGTAAGTATTTGCATCACACAAAGCTGTTGCATTTTGTCAAGACTCAAGTAGAATGTAGTGCACAAGTCATGTGAACTTGAGAGCCTTTGGTCACTATGAATTGCTGTATGGAAAGATTTCTATAACAATTCTTTAGCATATCTACTTTTATGTTCCATGGAGAGTTTTTCTGTTTTCCTCTGAAGAAACTGCTTGAGACTTTGTTGTTGTTCTGTGTTCCCTCAGGAAGCTGAGCCTTTCCACAACTACAGCGGTTGCATTGAAATAATCGAAATTAATAAGCTCAGAAGAATCCGTGTGGACCATGCCATTGCCAGGAACAATGTTGACAACTGCAGGTAATTGAACCTGATTTTGCATCAGGAATCAGTACAATTTTTGGGCAGTCTGAACTCATTTTAAACGATTCATATTAGTGAATCGGTTTGTTAAAAACGAAATTCTTCTCAAAAATTCTTCCCAAAACCAATTTTTCAACAACAAAAAAAAACTGCTTAAAAAAAGTGTTCATGCTGCCCTAAATTAAATTAAATGTAACATTGTCATTATTTTTTGTCTTTAATGTAAAGTTGTCTTTAATGTTGACTTAATTAATTTGGATGTTTTTAAAAAATTATAAATGTCTTAATTGGTACCTCAGATATTTCAATTATCTTGGTCACTATGAATTGCTGTATGGAAAGATTTCTATAACAATTCTTTAACATATCTACTTTTATGTTCCATGGAGAAATAATACAGGTTTTTTGAAAGACATGAGAGTGAGTAAATAATGACAGAATTTTTATTTTTGGGTGAACTATGCTTTAAAATGCAACCTCTTTGTTGTACGGCACTTTCTTCTCCCAGAATAGCTGCTTTGGAGCCATTTTTCATTTTCACCCTTAGGCCTGAGATGTTTTTCTGTTTTCCTCTGAAGAAACTGCTTGAGACTTTGTTGTTGTTCTGTGTTCCCTCAGGAAGCTGAGCCTTTCCACAACTACAGCGGTTGCATTGAAATAATCGAAATTAATAAGCTCAGAAGAATCCGTGTGGACCATGCCATTGCCAGGAACAATGTTGACAACTGCAGGTAATTGAACCTGATTTTCCATCAGGAATCAGTACAATTTTTGGGCAGTCTGAACTCATTTTAAACGATTCATATTAGTGAATCGGTTTGTTAAAAACGAAATTCTTCTCAAAAATTCTTCCCAAAACCAATTTTTCAACAACAAAAAAAAACTGCTTAAAAAAAGTGTTCATGCTGCCCTAAATTAAATTAAATGTAACATTGTCATTATTTTTTGTCTTTAATGTAAAGTTGTCTTTAATGTTGACTTAACTAATTTGGATGTTTTTAAAAAATTATAAATGTCTTAATTGGTACCTCAGATATTTCAGTTATTTTAAGTCCTTAGGTTTATCAGTTTTTATAGAGAAATATTAAACTTTGCAGTTACACTCTGTTACAGTACATTCTAGATTTTTAGGACTATTTAAAAATAAATACATAAAACATAAATTTTTTCTATTTAATGCCATTACCCTAATCAAGATTCATTCATTCAAAAAGCCTCATTGTCAGCCAGAGAAATATTGCTATGATTAAATAATAAATTATATAATCTGTTCATTATGAATTTGAAAATATATATTTTAAAATTTTGCCCCTTGAAGTAGTTGCTATGTAGGATTTCTTTTTTCATAACAGCCTACAATGTAGTTAAATACTAAAAAAAAAATAGTAAAGCTACATTTTTCACTTCCATAAAAAGTTGTAGTTTTCCTTCTTGCCTCATGGCTCTTGGATGTGCTATTTGCCACTCTTTTCAACTGTCTCTCAAGTACAAAATCTATAATTTAGCACGTCACTTGAGTGCACAGGTGCTGTACATTCATGCTGTGTGCAAATTGCTCATCAAGAGTGAGATTCTGGGGATGTTTAAGTGTTTGGCGTCGCACATCCTGTATTATTGTTCCAAAGAAAATGCAAACACTATTCTGTTCTTTCATCTATCTGGAATTGCAGTGTACTGGAGAGATGGGGTTTCCAAATGAATATGACAGTTCTTACATGGTATAGTCTCACATGATTTGAACAGAACCATTAATCAGGGCCATTTGAATGATACATCATAGTTGATTTGTGAGCTGATTTTGTGGTTACTAATTGGAGAAGTGATTGATAGGCATAGGCATAACTGTGTTTTGAAAGCTTCTTTCTCTATCATGCCTTATTTGTTTAGTTATGATAATTAAGGTAGTTTAACATGATAAGGTGCGTTATATTGCTTGTCCATTCATAAATCATGGGGGGCAAGATGAATCAGAGAAACTGGCCAATATATTTTTCAGGACTGATTTTGATGAATGTTGACATAAATTTCACCTTGTCATGATTTACTCACACTCATGTTGTTCTGAACCCATAGCCATTCATTCTTTCATCTGTCTGACACAAAATGAGATGTTTAGCAGAATGTTGGAACTGCTCTTTCCCATAAAATAACAGCATATAGATGTCTGAATTGATTTTCAGGATTTAGGTCATTATGTTCATACTGATGCACATCCATTTTTAATTCAAGTTTATTTGAGTTAAGTTCATTTTGTGTTGAACAGGATAATTAATATAGATTTTTTTATGTGCATGGGAGTATGGTTTTAATTTTACAAATGGGGCTTGTCTGTGTTGCCTGTAATTATAAGATTAAGGATTGTGGAGGAGACTGCTCTATATATCCTTTGCCCCTCTGATTAAAACACTAGGGGGGAATTCACTAAAAATGAATGTCAACCACTGATAGTGCTGCTTATATGCATGCACATTCTGCATTGTTCTAGCACCCGGTTCCCTAAAGGAATTATGCAAATCAGGTAAATATCCACAATCTTCTGTCAATCTGCAATTCCTGATCTTGTGGGTCATTTCTGAATGCTAGAGTGTGGAGGAAACACAACTGTCTGTCGTTCCATCTGTCTGACTATCTATTAGACTATAGATAATAGTGGTGGGTGCTTTGACCAAGAATCTGTATCAAGGTTTTTTTACGATTCTGGCGGCTTCACGGTTTTTCTGACTGTGCCTTCTGACTGTGCCTTTATATGAATAAGAATGCATGAAACAGTTGTTGTGTTAATTGTATTCAGCATCTCTGGCTTCTGTTAAAGGCAGTTTGCAGTTGGTTTATTTGCCCAGTTAAAGAATTAGTTTTGTGTTATTAATAGTTTAGTAGTATGCAGTTAGTAGTATGCATCTCCTCTCAATTAATGATGCTGTATATGTTGCTTAGCCACTTGTACCAGTATGCCGTTTTTTTTTTTTTAATTCATACCGTGTGCGTAATTCAAATTGGTTTACAATTTAAACCCAGCACTTATAGATATCTATCTGCCTATCAACAAGCTTTATTTTGACAAAACTTTGCTTTTCTAGTTACAAATTACGGTTACATGATTTTCTTTAAATTTTGCATTCCTTTTAATTCTGTGTCCTTGCATTCAAATTTGAACTGCAATTTTGTATTCTCTTTGCTCCCTCAAATACCGTGTGCGTAATTCAAATTGGTTTACAATTTATACCCAGCACTTATAGATATCTATTTGTCTATCAACAAGTTTTATTTTGACAAAACTTTGCTTTTCTAGTTACAAATTACGGTTACATGATTTTCTTTAAATTTTGCATTCCTTTTAATTCTGTGTCCTTGCATTCAAATTTGAACTGCAATTTTGTATTCTCTTTGCTCCCTCAAATTAAATTCAGAAATTGATTTGTAGTTAAAAAGGCATTCTCAATTAAATTATGAATGCCACACAACCCATAAACATCTCTTTTAGATGACATTTCATTTACCGCTTGCTTTTTTACAGTAAATGGATGTGATTAGGTTTAGATATCACTGAGTTTCATGAATAAGTGTGTAATTGTGAATAATTTGCCTGGTTTAACTGGATTTATGTGGTTAGTGAATTAAACACATGTTTTTGTGCTCTGAAATAATTATAAGTGATTACTGATTAGTAAATATGCCCCGTGGTAGTGTATTTCAGCGTTTAATCCTCGCCTTTTCATTTGCTCACATGTTGTACTGTAGGCCTCCCTGGCATCGTGACCCACCAGCAAACTCCACAGACGCCCCTCCTCAGTTCATCACAGTGGAAACCCCTCCGGATGGGCGTATCCCACCCACCCAGCCTTCACCTGTCTGTTCACAGGGGCTCTGTCTCAACGGCGGATCCTGTCGGCCCATCTCTCTGCCCAGCGGAGCCTCGTCTTTCTTCTGTGACTGTTCTCTGCACTTCACAGGACGCCTGTGTGAACAAGGTGAGACCTCCAGTTCCCCTTCACATCACAGATGAAAACCTCCCTACTGAATTACTGAACTACTAAATTAGCCGTATCCCTTAATTTAACTCTAATGAGCAGTCAAGTATGGTGTGAAGCTTTAAAACAAAACATTTCGGTTGATGTCGTAATGATACATAGTAGTTCACCTCCAAAAGCAGGCAATGATCTCCCACCAAATGTTTTGACTACAGATGCACGGCACATTTTCGCGAAGGAAAATGAAATCCTTGCCCTGTTGTTGGACCAGGGATCACTTTAAATAATTTGTGATGTGATTAAAGTAAGGTCCATATCTGCTCACTTCTTGAGTCCTACTACAAATGAGATGGTGACCCTGTCACCTGTGTTCTCCAGATTCATTTTACCTCCTCTGCCTCATGCCAGGATAAGACATGAATGATATAAAATTCTGGTGAGTGGAAAGTCTTTTACACAGTGAACCCAATTGATATTGACTGACACTTAACTTACTGTACTGAACTGCCATGGCAGAATATTTCACACTTTAACAATTTAGTCAACTTTGAACTGACAACAGACTTTCCTTTTATCAAAATCGCCACCTTGTCTGGGAAAACAGAATTTGTATGCACTTCCAGCAGTGGATGATTCATTGTAATGTGCTCCTCCATAGTGCTAATTGCCTTTTTATTGTATTTTGCACAAGCTTCTGCTGACTCGCCATGTTTTGCCCTGTATCAATAAGCCAATGCTCAGGTAAAGAGCTAATTTGCTGAGCTACAAGTTCATCTGTCTCTATTGATGTAACATTCAGATGCTCTGGCGGTGAGATGCCTGGCTTCAAATGAATTAAAAATCATTTAATCTTCTCTCAGGTTTCTATTTTTGTGCTGTGCCAGACATTGATTGATGTGTTTGTGAGCAGATCAGTTCAGTTCCTGTATGAGAAGAAAAAATACCTTTTCAGATGAAGCTGACAGTATTTTCCACATTTGTTTACTACTGATTATGGAAAATTACTTGGCATTTCTTACGAATATACTACAAAATGACTTTTTAAAAAGCTTTAGAGGCACAAAAGTTTTACTGTGAGCACTATTATCTAACATAAAATGGGCTAGCATGAATATATACGTATATATACAGTGGGTACGGAAAGTATTCAGACCCCCTTAAATTTTTCACTCTTTGTTATATTGCAGCCATTTGCATATTATTTTTATTATATATTTTATTTATCTTTTGCTTTCATAAAATTTAATTTGTTTATTTAATGTTTATTGCTAGAAACACACATTAGGGTTTTAGTGCCCAAGTTTGGCCTCATAAATTGCAAATCTGGAGAAAAAAAAGGAATAGAAAATTACATATAAAACATATATAAAATTAAAGTGCCCCTATTATGCCATTTTTAAGGTTGCTAATATTGTTTTATGAGTCTCTTAAAATAGGTTTACATGCATGCAAGTTCAAAAAACACGTTAGTTTTCTCAAAAAATAGATTTAATTTTACCTAATTTCTAAATGATTCGTAAATGACTCGTGCAAAGCAGTTCAAAGAGTCAGTCTCTCTAAACCCCTCCTTTCCGTGAACCCTCACTGCTGTGATTGGTCAGATGGCGCAGTCCTTTGTGATTGGTCCAGAGATGTAGAGAGATTGGCTCTGGATTGGTGTACCGCATATGGAAACGAAAGCACATTGCCATGACGGAATGACAGCCCTGGAGACTTGTCAATACATAGAAAAGATGGTATTGATTGTACCTTACCAATTCGAGCCGGAGTCTGATGATGAAACGGTTGAAGTGGCAACCAATGCATGTATAAAGACAAGTAGAAAGACTGAAATAATATTTTCTTGGAAAACGCAGTACAGGTATACAGGATAACACCCGCTGGTTCAAACTGGTGGAAATAGTTTGAATAATCACAAAAAACTACTCAACTGTTCATTCAGCAGCAATTTTTTTTTCTTTCTGAATCAAAATGAATTTAAAATGACTTGAAACAATGATTTTTGAGTGAGGCAGTCACTAGTGACCACTAAATAAAGATGCACTTCCATGTCTGAGACCGTCTTGACTCCTCTGAGGTTTACCATTAAAGCCTCTTTCTACTAGGGCTGGGTATTGTTCAAAAATGTTCGATATCGATACCGGTTCCTGAACGATACTTTTTTCGATACCAATTTTATGAAATCAATTTTAACAAGATTACATTATC